AGCAACAGAACCAAATACTGGTGGATAAGAAGTTGTCATGTTATTGATTCGGTGTTACCACAGTTCTCACTAACCAAACCACTAAACAAAAACTTACCGAGGCTGTCCCCACAGCTTTCTCTGCAGATTTTGCAACCAGATTTATGATTGGTGCGGCATTTGTGGGTCCATAAAGTTCTACAGATCTTATACAGTTCTGATATGCTCCCACTATTCCTGTAATTTCTGGCAATGACATCATAGAAATTGTTATATATAATGGGGAAAATGTCCACAGAGAACAAGAAAATTATTTCAATCTGTTTTTCACCTACCTTGACAGTTCGGATTGCTTGGATTAAAATTGAGAGCAAAATCATGCAAGACTTGGCCATTGGGTGGTAGTTTGGCACCAAAACCATACGCAGGAAACATCTTGTCACTTGAAAAAGAAAGTTATGTCAATCCCATGCAATACTCCACTATAACCTATTTCTTAACCATACAATACTTTGAACTACCTTTTCATACCATGTTAAACCATACCATGTTAAACCATACCAGAGCATGTTCTAACTAGCCATACCATTACCATGCAGTACTTTATCATACCATGTGACAGCTCACCACACAATACCATACCATATGACACCATACCATATGAAATCATACCATACCACACCATACCATATGACATCATACCATACCACACCATACCATATGACATCATACCATACCATACCATACCATACCATACCACACCATACCATACCATACCATACCATACCACACCATACCATACCATACCATACCATACCATACCATACCACACCATACCACATCATATCATATCATACCATACCATACCACACCATACCACATCATATCATATCATACCATACCATACCATATGACATCAAACCATACCATAACATACCACACCATACCATACCATATGACATCATACCATACATCATACCACACCATACCATACCATATGACATCCAGGCCTTAAAATATCGGTCGGTCACAGACATTGTCCGACCCATTTGTGAAATTGTCCGACGTAGAGAGGAAACTACCGGACATTCTGTCTGACCAAAGTGAAACTGAGGTTTATTGTTTGTCCGACCCGAGTGTATTTGTGTCCGACCAAACTGCAGCTTTGTCCATCGTAAATCAAAATGTACCCTAGCCCAGGACTAGAGGCTTGTATGTTAAATTGAAAATCAGAGTACTATTGTATAAAAGGTGAACTGGAAATGTTGTTT